TAGTCAGCAGTAAGTGTACTACAATAACATGACAATGGGTAAGGTATTTTGTTAAACAGACATTTGAAATACAATGTACCGGTACAGTGGAATTAGAGAACAGTTTTCAGAGAAAACAAGCAAACTACACATGTACAGGCTTTTCCTCATTGTCCATGTTGGATCTGGGAACCCCTGTCACACTACATGTACCGGTAGCAGTAGTAATCCGACATGATTTCTACACATGAAGGGTGAATCCAAACCTGGCCGGGGTCATACTTGAGGGGCTCTACTTGAGTAGAAAATCCCAAATCTACAGCCAACCAATGTACACTGTACAGGCCTTTTCTCATTGTCCACAATCTCCATGTTGGATCTGGGAACGCCTGTCACACTAGCAGTAGTAATCCAACATGATTTCTACACATGAGTCAGGTGCTAAGGGTGAATCCAACCCTGGCCAGGGTCATACTTGAGGGGCTCTACTTGGGTAGAAAATCCCAAATCTACAGTCGACCCATGTACACTGCCATGCCTACCGTACATGTACCCGTATTCACCTGTGTTGTATGGGAGCTGGTTCTGCTTACTGCAGACCCGTATTGATTTCAACAATGAGTAGGCAAGACAAAAGTGGGAAAATGCCAACAAGCTTTTTTTATTTAGGCACATGTGTATATTTTGCTTTAGTAGGGTTAAAAAAATATGAATTACAACTGAAATATACTGAATCATACATGTAAATTATGTGTCCATACTGCACACCCTTAACAAATGATAATAATCAAACAATTTAATGCGTATTATTTATTCAGGTAGCTCCATGCCAGGCTACATAATTTACAGCACAGCCTAATGGGGATTAATTAATTATTAACAGCATTAAGATTTTGATATTGACGAGATGAAACGCCACGAATGAATCACAGTCTGCGGTGTTTTCTAAGAGTGACATATTTAATGGGTAGTGTCTACCGTGGTCCCAATGTGAATGCAATTTATTATGCAAATTAGGTAATGTGAATGCAATTAGACGTACACATGCCGGTATGTCAATGCAATACAAGCATCACACACACATGCATTGGTGAAGGTCGCACACACACACAAAACCGCAGACGGGACAGGCACATGAACTGCTTATTCATTGAAAATCAATGTGAATGTCGTAATGCCAATGGAAACTATCCACATACAAACTTGTGTACATACATGAACATGGTTTATGTTGAGGTTGGGTGTGTGTGCTGCATGGTCAAAAGCGCAGCCTACCAGGTACCGTACATGTATACACATGTATGTTCATATCGTGTACATGGGTCATTCCTATTTATTTGTATTCCAATATATTTTCATGTCCCTGTTAAATGTAAATCTGATATAAAATTTTGTAAATTCTGAACACATCCTTAAACGTCGTCCATATCTCCAAGAGTGGATACATTGTACAGTAAAGCAAAGTACTGTACCTGTCAAAGAAATTTGTAAACATTGTCTGAAGTTAATTTTAATGATGCTTGCATGGCAATTTACACAGGTCAGGTGTAACAGGGACACCCCAAAACAGTCACATTTCTGGACCCCACATTTATGGCATGACCCACGTGTACAAACTTTCCACACATAAATGCCTTCACAGCAATTGCCAACACGTGATGTCCAGACCAGGCCCATCGTCAACGGGGGGCCTGGTGGGGCCGGGCCCCCCTGGTGAGCAATCCCCCCCCACCCCCATGGCAAAAGCCGTACATGAGTATTTTTGTATTTTTACGGTAGTAAGCCCCCTAGTTGGCAAGTGTGCCCCCCCCCCCCCCCCCCCCCGACACTCAGGCCTGGTCCAGACACACTACACCCATTCTGCGGACAATACATCAGATACATTTTCAGTGCAGTATTACATTTCACGCAGCAAAAAAACAGGTCTGCATGAGTTTTATTATTTAAGTTTTATTTATTTATTTATTTATTTTTGCCAGTCAGCTAGATATGCCAATATCCTGTAGGCCTACATGGAGTGCATTGGAGGGCAAAAACCTCAATCAGTAAAGATTCCCAATGGAGTGATAGATCCATGTAGGGTGCTCATTTGCTTATCAGAGCATTCCTTTGGAGCGTGTGGCTGCTCATCCCTGTAGTAAACATCCATGTACATTCACATTGTAATAAACTTTTGAAAAGAATACTGTTAAGTATTTATGGAGAACTCATGTTGAACAAGGATTAACCCTAACCCACCTCAATCCTCCAAAATCCTCCTGGCGGTTTTGGAAGACTTTGGAGGATTGAGGATGAATGGTGATTGAAGCACAGGGGATTTTGGAGGATTGATGATGAATGGTGCTCTAGAAGAAGAGGAGGATTTGAGAGGATTGAGGATGAATGGTGTTGAAGCACAGGGGATTTTGGAGGATTGAGGATGAATAATGTTTGAAGAAGAGGAGGATTTTGTAGGATTGAAGATGAATGCATTTTGAGAGGCAGGAGTGTCAGAGGATTTTGAAGGATTGAGGCACTGAGTATCCTTCATTAGAACATAAAGTGCAAGATTTTGGAGGACTTTGGAAGACTGAGGATGGTTCCCAGCAAAAAGGGCCTTGGGGTTAGGGTTACATGTAACCTTAACTTTGATTATCAAACAATGTCCAGCAGTGAGCAACATGCTGATGAATTTGGTTGATCTGTGCATTCAAACCCTGCTCAAACCAACAGGATCCATCTTGTTAACAAATTTCCGTTGGATCCTGTTGGACTGAGCAGTAAACCCTGTGTATTGCACTGTAACTAAAAGGGGACATACAGTAGCGTCTGTTGGATTCAGCAGGCAACTGAAAACATTCGTAGTCGGGTTCTGTTTGGGTGCTGGTAAATAATGCCAAGTTGGACTCTGTTGGATCCAGCAGCAAACAAAAATATAAGGCACAGTTGGATTCTGTTGGATTGAGCAGGCCAGTCATTTTATATTTTCAGGTATCCAGCAAGTTGGATTATGTAGTCCTGACTGTGTTGGGTTGAGCAGGAAACTCACACAAGTAACCATCGGACTCTGTTAGATTTAGCAAGGTAGTCCCGGGGAACTATTAGACGGTTAGTTACGGGTGAATCGGTTTCTGTGAGATTTTTATTTGTTTTGTGCAATGTGTCAATGTGTATGTATAGGCCTGTGTAGCTCTACTGAGTGGAGCGCTGAATTACGGGTACCCCTCCATACTAGCGCTCCACCGATTCACCATACTTTGGTAGCACCATCACAGTAGCATAGTCAAAAACCCACGCGAGGACAAAAAGACCCCAAAAAAATGGTAAAGAGATTACAAATGAGAGAGACAGTTATCCTGGATTGATCTATACATTCTTGACATCCCATGAGACCCCTTATATTGTTCCCAAACAGCGAACATTTTGGAAAAAAACAGGAAAATAGTCTGAAAACTTACGGTTCAATGTGTTTGCATGGAGGTTCAGTTCTTGAATTAGCTTGTCGCCGAGGGCGTCTGACGTCGTCACCGTCGTTGCTCGATCGCGAAGAAAAACAAGTCGCGCTTTATCTGCGACTGTTTTGTGTAATAATACATGCTCCTTGGGTGTGTTCAAAGCCCATACTGTCGTACGGCGCGGCGCGGATCGGAGCACGTATTATTACACGAAACAGTCGTTGATAAAGCGCGACTTGTTTTTCTTCGCGATCGATCGAGCAACAACGGTGACGTCACGTCAGACGCCCTCAGCGACAAGCTAATTCAAGAACTGAACCTCCATGCAAACACATTGAACTGTAAGTTTTCAGACTATTTTCCTGTTTTTTCCCAAAATGTTCGCTGTTTGGGAACAATATAAGGGGTCTCATGGGATGTCAAGAATGTATAGATCAATCCAGGATAACTGTCTCTCTCATTTGTAATCTCTTTACCGTTTTTTTGGGGTCTTTTTGTCCTCGCGTGGGTTTTTGACTATGCTACTGTGATGGTGCTACCAAAGTATGGTGAATCGGTGGAGCGCTAGTATGGAGGGGTACCCGTAATTCAGCGCTCCACTCAGTAGAGCTAAGACCTGTGCAGTCCTATGTAATTGCTACAGATAAACTGCCAATTTGTCAACAAACTAGCTATCTGCGAACTCACGTATCTGATGAATGTATTGGAATATCAGGACTGTTCATTTGCATTATTCGTTGGGATTAGATAGGCTCAGCAGAAACCATTAGGGAAAAAATTCAACAACAATCTTTCAACTAAATATAGGTCCTCAATATTCCATCAGCAAAGTTTGAGGTCACAGTTCAAAAGTTATGGAAGGTTTTTCTCTTTTGCACGTTTCCACTCTCTTATGTTTTGGCACCCTCACTTTAACATAGGATGTGACTTTGCGTTTAAGTTTGTTAACATTTAGCAAATATTTTATGACCGTTTAAACCTTTAAAACATTTAAAAACTTTTTTTTAGCAATTTCACAAAGGCTGACTCAGACCAGAATGATTGATATGATAAATGAACAATGATTGACATAATAAACAGTGGGCAGTCATTGAAAAGGTAGACTAGAAACCTAATTACGTACGTTAAGTCCTTATGTTTTTATTTTTATTTTGTTTAAATATGAAAATTGAAATTTTAGTTAAGGGCAGAAGGGCCCAGGGGGCCAGGGCCAACTCCCAAATTTATGGCAATGGCATATAGGCCTACTGCACTATTTTGGAAGGGGAGGGGCACATGATTTGTAAGCATTGTTTGTACTTCATATTACGGTGGAGGGTATGAGTAAGACGGGTACAAACGACAAAAGAAACTAACATGACTAAGGTTTTGTAAACTGGTTCTGCCAACAAAAGCGGCGATGTTATGAACGCTATGGTTAACTGCGATTAGGGCCTAGTGTGAATGGAAACTGCCCAATCTGCAAGCAGTGGCGGTGGACTTACTTACTGCTTGCATGCGGAGTGCTAGCTCGAAAAGATCGTACTGTCAGACGAAAACACATCGCCAGATTACTTTTAAAAGATTCCATCATTAATGATGACTTACCAATTTACACCGGCATTTCAGAATCGCTGGAAAATCATTAAAAATCCCCGTCGAAAATGTTGACAGCCATCCACCCAGATCGTCGTCTTAACGCTGAGCTGTTGTCAGTGTGAAATACATTGAACTGGTACTTCACTTCATTATTCATATCATTTGCAAGCGATGACGTGTGAGTACCAGCGCAGCCTGAGATCAGTGATTTTCATTCCGGTCGCTTGAAATAGCGCCCTCTTTAATAAACACCTTGCCCTTTAAATCAAATAGTAACAATGTTTCATGCTACTAAAAAAAAATTGCACCCTGAAAAATTGTTTCACAATGTCGGGGTTTGATTTTTCTTTTTTTAAATAATAGATTTTTTAGGTTGGGATATTGGTCCTCTCGGTGCAAACTTAAATTAACAAATTTTCCCCAGTGTAGGGATTTTAGGGGTTTTGTTTTTGTCACTCTCAAAAGGATATGTCTACCCTACTAGCACAGAGAGAGAGGGGGAGGGGTATAGTAGATGTTGATTAAAAAATGCCTTGAAATGCCTTAAATTGTTTTCCTTTTAAAAACAAAATGTATCCATGTCTGTAAGAAAAGGGATTTAAATTTTGGATTTAAATGGCCAGAGAAAATGTTGGCCATTACAAAGTTTGTCTCTGTATGCTATTTCAGAGCCAATTGAGGCCATAGGTATACTATAGGTATTGTGCATGAATCAAAATAATATCCATGCAAATAAGATGAAAACATTGCCTAACACCTGATTTCAGTTGAGTAAATATCCCTTTATTCTTAAATACATGCAAAACAATCCCTTACATTTCATAAAATAACTTTAAAAATACTAGTTCAACACTATATTCCATATATTTCTGGAGTCAAAAAGAGTACAAAATGTCTTATATATATTTTTCAGTCATTAAATTTTTTTTAAATCAACTGTTTGAAAGTCGATGTACAATTTAACATGATATTTACTGTAATTAGATGCTAAAGGTGAAAGTAGCCACGATTTAGAACTAGATTTTACAAAATATTGAAGCGAAAAGAAACTTTTTGCAAAGTCTGTAATTGGTTTAGAGGTCTAAACTAAGCTTTGAACAATTCTACTTTGAAACAATGCCAGTGTATCTTGGGGTATTTGGTTTAGATTTGTTTTGTCCAGACAATTCTGAACCCCCCCCCCCCAAGAGGTTGTCAGTTTGTTTTTGTTTTTGTTAGTTCCACGATTTGACCTTGGTGAAATGTATGTGGCCTATTTTCGAGTAGTATAATAGGGGTATAAGTGGGGCCACCAACGTCAAAATAATCCGCCCCCCTGAAAAAAAACCCAACTTCTAAAAAAAAAATTGAGGCCCCCCCCCAAAAAAAAGCAACATCCTGGGTGCGCCACTGTTCTGAACAGACCAAATCCACCCAAGTACACTCTAGGGTGTCCCAAAAAGAAAGTTGTACAAGCAGATATCCTTTAATTTCTCAAAAACTACTTAACATGAGTATTTCATCTTGATGGGGCATATTAATTATACTCTTGTGTATAATCGGTGAAAATGCCAAGGAAATTTGTTCATGCTAGCCAGAGATCTAACAGATTAGAAAAGGCTATGTGGTTTTTCACCCATTCCAATGGGATGGGATTTACACAGTTAACTTAATTTAAATCAGAGTGAAAAGGCCCATGACAATCTGATGCACTGATATCGCTAACTGTGTAAATCCCATTGGAATGGGTGAAAAACCCATAGCCTTTAATAATCTGTTAGATATCTGGTTTGCATGAACGGATTACCATGGCATTTTTGTTGATTACACACAAGAGTATAATTAATATGCTCCATCAAGATGAAATTCTCATGTTAAGTAGTATTTGAGAAATTAAAGGGATATCTGCCTGCACAACTTTTTGGTTTATAATTATGGTTTTTAATTCATCAGAGATTAAATTCAAGTGTGGAACAAAAAAGGGTTAACCTTTTACAATCATTTGGTTGTGGTTGAACTTCCAGTGTGGTTCTTGAATAAAAACATTTCAGGCTAAAACTTGCTTCACTAAGCTTTTTTTTTTTGAGGCACTAGTTTTTTTTTCAAAGAAAATGTGGTAAATTTTCTAAGTCAAGATGGATATTTTAGGGGTGCGGGGCTAGCTCCCATGCACCCTCATGAACAACCACTGCCTCAATAGAACTGCATCCAGTGGTTCCGTTGGAATTAGGTTGGTGCAGCGGTTCTTTCCTCGCCTTCCACCGCTGTGACCCAGGTTCGAATCCCGCCTGGGCCAACATGTGGATTGGGTTTTCAGTCCCTACCTGATTATGTGGGTCTTCCCCAGAATATTCTCCTGGGGTTTTCCTCCCACCTCTGAAACTGTAATTTCTTCTCATTGTCTTCTCTCCACAGGTTTCTTCAGGCTTGTGATCTACAGTGCCTAGGGCGTTTTCGAGGAATCCTTGGTTTCATTACCAGAAACATACAATAATGATAATAACACAGCAATGCTATCAATGAGGGTAAACAATGATTTTGAACATTTCTTGGCACACACGTCTTTATCCGACGTGAATACATGAAAGCACACAATAAGGACAATACTGCATAGGTGATTAACATCTACGGGAAGCTGTTTGGTCTAACAGCATGAAGGCCATATAATATCTCACAGTAACCCTCCTATGCAAACATACATTCTGTGCCAAGTCCAGTCAAAATCAATCAAGAGACTGTACTCAACAGTCACACGTCAGAGAGCTCCCAGCCTACATAAAGTGGGATTGACTGGCTGTGACTGTTTATGTAACTTGGCGCAGCTAGGCTTTGACTGTAGGTGGTCGATAAGCCAGCTGTGCCACCAGTTTCCTGCTTTTGTCTGTTGACTGAATTTGACTAGTCAGAGTTCTTTCTTCAAATATGATCTGACTGTTTGTGACTTGCCTGTGTAAAAGGCATGGCAAGAGAAGTAGATGGACTTTTTGACTGTATGTGACTGTTTAAACAGTAGAAGGGTTAATGCTTATGCAATATGAAATTGACGTCAACAAATCTGCCGGAGTTTGAATGTTACACCTTTGTGAAGATTTCACAAAGTTTCTTTTGCTTTAGTGCAGAGCATGGACCGACCTCAACCAACTCGAGTCAGTTCTAGCCGTATCCACATCACTTGGCTATGACTAGCAGTATAAACACAGGACTCTATGGGAAGTGGCTGCAGCGGCTAGCCAGTGGCTTCCATAGGTGCGCGTGTTATTCCCAGCCATAGCCAAGTGATTTGGACAATGGCTTAATGTCAGCTTCACTCAATCCCAAGGTTTTTTTTTTTTATCCTGCATCTGTTTGGGGCAAAAAGGAATTGCACTGAAAGGATTAACCTCAAGAAGTGAAGTGCACGTTCAGAGTTGTGTACATCTATGTCCAAATACGTTCTAAATTAAACATGAAATTAAAATCCCTTAATAACACATTAACCATTTATTTAAAATAAACTGTCCTTAAGAAAATTAGCAACAATAAGTGTTTCAGAAGAACAACTATAAAATGCACTTGTTAAGCTCTGGCAGGAGCTTTTTACATGTCTTTTGGGGGTCGGTTGGTCGGTCTGTCTGTCCCCATAAATTGACCTAAATAAGCCCCCTAAGTTTCCCATAAAATATAACTACCAAATTTTAATTTTCAAAAAGAAAAAAAACACAGAATAAATTAAATACTTAACAATACTTGTTTGTAACAATCCGGAAAGATGTTTATGAAAAATTTGTAAATGGAGACAAAATATGTGCAGTAATGTTTTGTTATAGTCACGTGGTATTGATCAAAGTGACTTTGTTACATGTATACACGCACACGCACCACTGATTACAACACCCATTGGCTGAAGCTCAAGTTGCGTAAACTTCCGATTCCATTCGTGCTATGTTACACCATAGTACGCATGGTTAAGTTGAGATGACGTCACACTAACCAACCGGATAAATCTAGGTATAAATCTAAAGTATGGAGTTCCATATGTGCCATCGGCGTCATATTTTTGGGCGCCGCATTTTTAAGCCCTAGCAGGGGTCATTTGCTCCAACCGGTCTTCAACAGAGTGTTTAACACCTGCCAAGCACATATTTATTCCCCAATTGATCTTGTCCGTCTTTGGCAAAGCTTCATTCATTCAATTCCACAGACTTAGAAAAACTCTTTAATTTATAAGAACACTTCAAGTTGGCACACGATTCGGGCGATTCACAATGCGGTGCGCCACCAAGAGTTTGCCACGGAGAGTTAATTTGTCCCAGTGCATTGTGGGAGATGGTCGACAAATTCGCAGAGTGGGACATTTGAAATTGTCACTTTTTTGCGGTCAGTAGTTTCGTAAACATATGATTCAAGGATCTGTTTGCCCTTATCTTTTCTTTTTTTCAATGTGGCGTTTTTTTGGTAAGACGGCAGAATGCTATCACCCAATCTATAACATGTTAGTTCAAGTTGTCTACTGACACTCATTCAAATGGGCCATGTTTTGTCGACCGTAAACTTGAAAAAATTGACTCTCCATGGCAAACTCTTGTTGGCGCACTGCATTGTGAATCGCCCGAATTGCAGAAACCTTTATATTAAACTCCTAAGGTACAAAGCTCAGTGCAATGACCGTTACATCAGCACTGTGACTCGTCCAAGAACATTTCCGTCTGCAAGCAACCAATTACTTCTTGATGGAGGGAAGTGCTTGCAGTCAAACGTCTTGCTCACCTGGCTGGGTTTGAATTAAACCCACATTTCAATATCTCTACAAAATATACCAGTCTGATAGACTAATCAGACTTCCACATTTTGACCACATAATTGAGGTCGTCACACAGGTTCACAAAATTGAGAGGCACGTGCATTTCGGCAAGTTGTTAACAACTTGACACATTATTGATAGATGGAGCAATGAACTAACGCCCAATGCTCAGACGGTCTAGGTACGTCTCATTATTGGCTGAATGTATTATTCAGTGGTTTGGTCTACTAACAAAGTGTTCATCATCCGAAGGTCTCATTCTACTTTCTTGGCCTTGTTCGGAGGGAACAGCCGATCCCACGCCATGTGGAAGACACCGGTGAAGAGCAGAGTACCGGAGAACACGCAGGCGGTGCCCATCCAGTGGTAAACGGTGAAGGGGTTCTTGAAATATAAGATGGAGAAGACTAGACTGAAGAACTTGCGTAGTGTCACGACGAGCGTAACGATGAGGGATGGGCACTCGGTAGTCAGGATGAAGACACCGCGGATGCACACATACGTGATGAAAGGAGTCAAGGAACTAGACAATAAACACTTTGACCTTAATATATTAACGCTCCGTTTTTCATCAAGTACTGTATACTCAGTGCTGACCCACATTTTGAGAGAAAAAAACAACACAATCTCACTCGGGTGGGACTCTAACCCGTATCTTCCCGCTTACTAATGCAGATGTCTTGACTAAACTACCCAATGACAAACTTATTGGGTCTTCTTGTCGATTCAAATGCAATATAGGGGAGATGTCAATTTTAATGTTGGGTTTTGCCGTAAATTACTTCTAAGTTGAGTGGTTGGGTCGTTCTGCACTAGCAAGCAGGAAACTGTGGGTTCGAGTCCCATCTGGGCAGGCTTTTGATTTTTTTTTCACACAAGCTTTTGGACAGCAATCTGAATATAAAATGCTTGTTCAGTTACCCCATCGATGAGCAAAACACCAACTAGTGCAAAATGACATAAAAAAGGGGACGAACCTGTGTTTACAGGCACGGAGTGCCCATCTCTCTTTCTTTAGCAATTGGGCCAGACTCGTATGCTGCTGTGGGGGGATCGCCACACCTCCTCCACAGCGAGTCTGTTACCTTCCCAGCATTGAATAATGCCGGTACCCATTTAACACCTGGGTTGAGAGGAGTAATTGAGGTAAAGCACCTCACTCAAGGCTACAACATGCATGGCCATGATGGGGCTTGAACTCACAACCTCTTGATCATGAATCCTGTACTCCACCGTTAGACCAAACGTGTCCACAAATGACATACCATTTGTTATACAAACAATGAATCTTTACGAGTGCAATGGTGAGAATATTTTCATGAGTTGAAAGATTGTTCCATTCAACGAGGCGAAGCCGAGTTGAATGGAACATTCCATCTATCAACGAATGAAAATAATCTCACCATTGCACGAATGCCAAACATTCATTATTTGTTTCAAATAACATCCAAGTAGATCTTTGTCATTCGATTGGAGGATAAAACTTTTAAGAACAAAAAAATTCGCAAAATTGTATCATATCCAGTGCTTTTTTTCAGCTTGTTCAAGGCTAACAAAGGTTTAAAAGTCAAATCATTGACAATAATGAAAAGTAACACGCTTTAGCTTAAACATGATTTAAACAATTGAAAAGGACCGGTGTGTTTGCTGCCACCAACGTCTCAAAACTCTCCCATTGTAGTAAAGTGTCTTGCCAAAGAACTTCAAGCAGCACTGTGCTGAGAATCCTCAATAATTGCTAAGGCCCCCAAAAAAGTCTCCGGTTTCTGGTATGCGTGCGCATCGCCGTAGCCATGTGCTTCGGCAAAATGAAAAACCTTTTTTTTTTCAGTGTAAGATGATGTCTCAAAACTGCCAAACTCACTGGTTTGACTGGAATCCTGCTGCTGCACAATTTTAACTTGTTTTTAGATGGGGTTACGATCGAGTATAAGTTTTATGTGGTGTCTCTGGACTCCCATATATTAGCACTAAATTTAGTTGGGCAACATTTGCAGTCATCAGCCGACATTTGAAGAAAAAAAAACGGTAAAGAAAAAAAAAGACGCGTCGCGGCTCCACTTTTGGGGCAAGCTCCATACCAGAAACCGGAGACTTTTTTGGGGGGGGGGGGGCCTAAAACATGACAGAAGCAAACGAGGGAGGGGGAGATTGACCCTTGAACCGGAACTATAAAAAGGATATTGTGTGATCATATTTCCAGCCAGATAGAGCCACATCTTTGGAACCATAACATCCAGAATGGGTACTGCTAGTGGCTCTGAAAAGCGTAAACCGCAAAAATGTACAAGTAGGTAAAAAGAAACTTTAAAGGTAGAGTATATAATTTACGTATATCATTTGCAGCTGTCCATAAGGTAACTGACAAAATTATTGTTGAAAAACATACTTGGTTTAAAGATAGTAATGGCACTAAACTCCCAGTGAAATTATTCCGTCTGTCATGCTGTCATTTTGAAGATAACAATAAAAAAAAGAAAAGAAGGTCATTAACACACGTGTTAATCTAAAGACGCATTCTTGGAAATTTCGGTAAGTAGTTCGTTTTTTAATTCAGCAAAGCATTGACATGACACACATGCACACGCATGTGCGGTTGCTGTAATCGTCGGTTCAGTGCGTGACATCGCGTAGCTGCAATCGGCTGATTGAGAACGTGTCCCGGACGCTGATTTTGGGCGCAATTCAAAAAATGACTCGGCAACTTTTGATTTGAAATCAACATCCTAGAATATTGTTTTCTCGGAATATACAGCATTCACTGAGCTTAAAATTCATCAGGTTAGTTGTTAAGCACCCTTCTTTAGATTCTGAGCATTTTTACTGCTTCAAACAAACAAAATGCACAAATGACAAATGATACACTCTACCTGTAACAGGCAAACGAAGTTTGGAAAGTAATTCACTAACAATTCAAGGCAAAAAAAAAAAAAATGACAGGAGCATGATTTGAACCAGTGACCTTCGGAACACAATTCCACTGCTCTACAAACTGGTGGTCTCATGTGGATGGTCTCAAGTGTCTTTTTTCTTGGAGTTCCCCAAGTCTCCATGTTGTACCTGAGTCCAATACCCTTTAGGCCCTTTAGTTAGAACATTGCTGTATTGATATGTTTGCAGCATAAAACACGCTGTCAATCCTGCACCCGATTTCACGAAGCACTGCGACGTGTCGCAACTCGAGTTACGACGTGTAACACGTCGCAACTCGCGACGCGTCGTATCTTTCATTTCACGAAAGTTGCGACGTGTTGAACGCGTCGTAAGTTCCTTGACAACGGCTTTAAACACGTCGCAAGTTAAGACGTGTCTTGTGGTCATCGCAAAATAAGAAGACTAATTTCTAAGCCAGTTTTATGCCATAAACATTACATTAACGAGATTATAATACCGAGGCAATGTGTGAAAAGTTGTTAATAGAAAATTCATTAAATGATTATGAATTAGACCGGAATATTAGAATTGAAATTTCAAAGTAGCTATACAGTCCAATGAGAGTTTGTTTTCCTTCGAAAAGGCATCGCACGGCCGCCATTTTTTTTTACGTTTTAACAAAGTTCGAGCTGAGATCCAACGACTCTTTGTTGAATATCAGACGACTATTTACTGTACGCTGACTAAATACATAAAACAGTCACCGAGTTGTGCTATAAATACACCTACGACGCGTCGCACTTACGACGTGTTTCGTGAAATGGATCGCAGGACAAGTTGCAGCTGCGACGCATCGTAGAGATACGACGCGTCGCAGCGCTGCGATGCATCGTAAGTTACGAAGAGTTTGATGAAATCGGGTGCTGGGAAGTAACGATCTCGATCACTCACACATATTACAGCTGTTTTTTTTATCCTTGAATGTCATTTCCGCGGTCGCAGGTTCGAACCCAGATCCAGTCAATTTCTCGATTCAGCCTTTATTGATTAAAAGTGAGCCCAGTCAGCTTCCCTTTGTGGATGATTTGACGGCTCAATACTATCCAAAACTTGAAATGTTAGCCAAATTTTTTTACATTCAGCAAGGATTGAAAATAAAATCATTAAAATACCCCTTCCTGCTTATTCTGGCTTCAATAAAACACTGCAAGAGCAGCTAGACTGTCTGAATGCAATTGTTTAAATGGTGATTACTACTGTGGGGTCCATGCACAAGTACCGGCCCCCTCAATGGTAAGAGTTGGGGAGACCACTGGGAGAGACATTCCAACGCAATCGTCGACAACGCCTGATGCTCACGTGAAGACACTTTGGCTTTGTGCGCATTCAGAATCAAAGTCGTGTGTACATTGCGCTACAAGCCACAAACAGTACGTGCACACACTGTATACAAACCACTGGGCTCTCCGAAGTGCCAAAAAAAAGCACACTCTTTTGTTAGTGCACGAGCCTATCAGGGACATTTGTTAGCAATGGACCGGTCCAGTAAGCCCCGCCCACTGCACACGTGGGCAAATTAACACGTGCTCCTCTCCAATGCCAAACTGCATTTTCCTGCCGCGCGCATCATACGCGCGTGCATGCATGTCAGACTTTTGTGCACGCATGTCGGACATACGTAAATCACTGCTGTGATTGGTCAGAATACCATGGGGCGGTGCTTACTGGATCGGTCCATTGATGAAAACAGCACACGGAAAACAGATTTTCAAGTCCACGAGGTAAACTGAGATGTTGGACTGTTGCATACCTGAATTTGAAAATATCACTGTATGGTTGTAGATGTCCTTTCCTAGTACAGCAAATCCTAAAAGTGGAAGTGCATGCTGTTGAAGGAAACATAGGAAACGGAAAGTAACTGTTTTTAGAAGACAAAGAATAAAACAAAGAAATATTTTTAGAATTTAGTGAATATGAATATGCCCGACAATTGAAAGTCGATTAGAACTCTGGACCAGAAACTGAATGACACTACTATCATTTCAAAAATAGGTTTTTTGGGTTTTTTTAAAATTATTTTTTTGCATATAATTTTTCTTAGAATATAAGTGGGTAAATTTGAGCAAATGAACCGTTAGGACTTTCGTCACTTTTACATCGTCGCATCAGTGCAACAAGGTCGTAAACTCGATTCTGCAGCAAATCGTATCTCGCGCGAATACGCTCCGTGCAACAAGGTTGTATCCCGTGTGTTGCGATGTACGGTGACTTTGTGCGAACATCCAGGTTATTTTAAGCATGATACGACATCTTGACATTGAAAACTCCCGTTTCACGTACATGACATCACACACCATTTAAGCAGATATATACGATCTTGTTGCACGGACACGACGACATGTGTACACTGTACATTAGATTTCAGTATCAGAGAAAAAGGAAAATAATGGATTTTTCTCTGATTCAATAATATTTCAATCAATCACTTAATGCCCACTGTCTGACTGTAATTTCACGCTGTGATTTCTCACTAAAATAGTTAACTGTGTATGTTACAAAAATTATGATATTTTTTTGTCCAAACCAAGAAATGAACTCACCGAATAGAACAATGCTTCTCTTGGATGCTTGCCATATTTGGCGTAGAGTGTTTCTTGAAAGATGCCCATCCGGGCTGACATGAAAAGGGCAAAGGTCAACATAAATAAGCCTGAAAGAGAAGAGATAAGAGATAAAATTAGAACATACGCAACCAGGATAAAAATGACTCTCAAAATTGAGTTACAATAGGCAGAAACTGTCACAATCACACAATGACAGCAATAATCAATTACACTGACCAAATGACGATGACGAAAATGGCAATGGTAAGAGCATGACAATACATATGGCAGTGACCCCAGCCGAGTAAGCTTATAAACTTTTTCTCGCAAACCTTCGGACAATATTAGTTATCCCGCCAGCGTGAGTGGAACACGGAATAATGTAGTGCGTCTGAGTCCGGCCGAGTGGTATGTGGGACACAGACGCACTACATTTTCCGTGTGCCACGAGTGCAAGCATGATAACAAATTTATCTTCAAGCAAACTTGACGTGCAGTAAAGTTGGAACTAGCATTTTAACATGAATCTTTCAGCTGTTTGGCGCATGCAGCTGGAATGACGCATGCATATTGGAATAGCCTAACACGTACGCAGGGTGCGATATGGACCGTGCGATACAGTATAATATCACACTGTTGTTGCCGTGGATCGACCAATCAGTATCGAAGATACAAGTTTGCTTGAAGATAATACTGAATATACAGCGTTTATAAAAAATATGTAGGTCAAGGGCAAAACCCAATATAAAGTAAAATTCCTTTCCTCACCTATTGACAACATAGCAATATCATAGGCTGTCATGGGCCCTTCTTCCTCGGCACCATGTTTTTTAACCTGTTGGGAAAAAAATTACTGGAAAATTATATTTGTTGTCAAAAAGACTAATAACTTACACAGAAAAATTAAAGTTGTTGTAACACTGCAACACTGTCAGGGAGTACTAAATATTGAAAACGACATTTCAAAACTTCAAGTCTTTTTAAGTCAAAATTTGAAACATAGAATTTTTCCTCTCAGAATCGTTATTCTCCTGAAAAAAAAAATCAAAATCATTACACGATTTGGTAGCACTAAAAGACATCACCTGGACATGCTGAATCTGGTTTATGCACTGAATAGGCATTGAAGTTGGTGACATCACAGGTGAGAGTGGCCCAAGTAAAAATTACACCCTTTCACTTAATTTGGGCGATTCACAATGCAGTGCGCCACCAAGAGTTTGCCATGGAGAGTCAACTTTTCAAGTTTACTGTCGACAAAATATGGCCCATTTGAATGAGTGTCAGTAGACACAGCTAAATTGTTATAGATTGGGGCATAGCGTTCTGCCGCCTTACCAAAAATCACCATATTGATACAAAGAAAAGAAAAGGGCAAACATATACTCGAATCATACGCTTACGAAACTACTGACCGGAAAAACTATTGGTGGCGCTCTGCATTGTGAATCGCCCGAATTGATTGTATTTTTTTATCTAGGGACCCTAATGGGGTAAAACGGAGCGGATTGAGAAATAGTCAGGCTTTAATGAAATAGATAATTTCGTTGAAAAAAAAAAAATTAGCCCTAACCGAACTCAACCCATCAAAGCCCAACAGCAGGTTTTGTTGAAATCTGTTAGGATAGGTACAGTACCCCTAAACTGATGGTCTTTTACACTGGGGTTGGCATACCTCCAGAAACTAAGTCCAACAGTGTGCGTGTGTACAATTTCCCATGTGGGTGTTGGAATTTGCCAGAATGGGTATGGTTTCTAGTAAATTATGCTAGGGAGTTAGGGTTAAACAGTTTTAATTATTTGTGTTCTGAATGTTGCACTTGTTTTGGTTTTTTTTTTAACACTCTGTACAAAGGCTAATGGGTTGTTGAGTATGCCAACACCTCAATTAGAAAATGCGTAACTGATGTCTTAAAAATATCTTTGAGAAAATTGACAAAATAAATTAATCTTTTAAAAATTATGATGTAGAACAAGATCTTTTTTTAAATTGTACAGTTAAATATACCAAGCCGATTTAACTCCTCTATTCTTCACTTCTGTACCTGAGGTTAAAATTGGCACATGCAGGGCAAGGAAATTAATATGCTAAATACTGGTATGCCAGCAGTTAAATGGAGATTTGCATGCATCATTTGACTTTAACCCAGTTCTACATGTAGTAAAATGTCAAAGACATGTCTGCACAGTAGAAAAGTGAAAATGGAGGATTTGTTTATTATAAATCTGTTACATGTATACCTTGCTACTGGTATCTATCCAGAGAGAATAGAAATACTCTTATTTATTACATGCCATGGAAATACCAGGAGAAGTGCCCAGCTTGATAAGCCATATTGGTTCAGAGCAGACTTTATGACTATACTTAAAGGGAATGTACAACATTTGCTTTTGCTGCACTTTTCAGAAATAAATCGATTTTGAGGATTAGTATGTTATAGCAAATATGGTTGAACTGACTTGTTTCACGCTTTGGGCTTGGTAGATGCTGGAAAAACCAAGACAACAAATCATGTTCTTGTAGTCTGGTTCCCTGACCCTACTTAAGATGAAACTGAGAAATTTAAAGACTTTAGGGAATTGTAAGTCAAAGAATCAGTCTAGCAGGCTTGTACCCCTTCACAAGTGTGTAATCAATTGCAAAGAAAATGCGGAATAACTAAATAAGAAAAATTAGGAGCAGTTTTTGAAAAAAGCCAGTTTTCTCCAACGCTGGTCAGCCAACCAGTGTTGGAAAAATACAGTTCTTGAAAATGTCAGCACACCAGGAGCCACCATTTACAGGATGCTTTAGACTGTCAATCCCTAGCGATTCAGTAAGGTATTTCGTGATAATTTGATCATTTCGTTTTGGATGTTTGCAAATGTTGTATCTTCCCTTTAAAGGCATATATAGGATCATTTTCATTCATCTTACAAGTAACCTCCCTACTTATTACCAAAAAGCTTACTTAGATTAACACTCGTACAGATACTAAGCACCCCGAGAAATTATTCCCTCTGCCTTGCTGTCATTTAGGAGAAATCAAGAAATGTAGGTGATTTCCAACGATCCGTCAATCGACTAATTTTTGGAAATAACGAGTGCTACGGACGAAATCGTGTTTAATGATAAAAAAAATGTATGCATGGTTTTCACTCTTTTCTTGCAAAGTGAATTATCCACCGAGCTGAAGCTTCAATATGTTAGGTTTTGAACATTCTTCTTTGGATTTTGAGTGGTGTGATTCCTGGAAGCAAATGACATGCATGAAAATCAAATGACCCTATACATGTATATGCCTTTAATCTACTTCTTTTGCAGTGGCCAACTGATTCAATTCTCGGAGGTTTTTATAACATTTTAGACCAGATTGCAGGAGCATTATTATAAGCAAATAAAATATCTCCATCTGGATTAATTACTGAATATCACTTACCCCAGTCTTTGCCGACATCAGCGTGCACGTGCATATACCCAGAGTGATCATCAGAATTGATATATATTTGTATGTTGGATATCTGGAATGGGAAACACAACAATGTAAATTATCATGACGAACTCCAGGCTCCCAGCCCCAGCTAACTCAGCTTTTTCTCAACATGTGTATTTTTTTCAGCTTTTTTTAATTCAGCTCATTTAAATTTTGCTTGTTTCACAAAACCTAAATATCACCTTTGCGCCTATCTGACTGACTTACTGACTGACTCCCCGTCACTTAGATCTAGATTAGCTCATTTAAATTTTGCTGGTCCCAGAGGGCCAACATGGGCCCTATTTCACGGCAATGCTTAGCACACGATTTTCTGCTAACAGTGCCTCCTTCTATTTCATGGAGACCGTAAGCGTAAGCACAGCAAAAGGCACGCTTACTTCAGAGGGAAAATTTGCATAACTTAATGACGTAACAATAGGAATCTCCATGCACGCGCGACCGTAAGCACGTCCACGCCGTGAAATAGTGCTGAAGGTTTGCAAATTATTCTGCTATGCTTAGCACAACTTTTCTGCTAACTGTTAAGCAGCGCCGTGAAATTTGCCCCAGGTTGTTTCCTTTGTCCTATCTCACCGACGGACAAACTGACTGACGGACTGACTCGCTCACCGACTGACGATCGCTTGTGACTAGCAGAAGATTGGTGGAGAGAGCTGGGGCAGTGCTATTGTATAGGATTCGTGTGGACCACATGCTTGACTAGCCATTCCGAATCGATTGAATAGAACGCTGTGCACTCTGGGACCAGCTTTACTGGGCTTACCTAGTCTTGTTTATTTTGCTTTCAGCCATAACAAAAGGTTTAATTTTGTTGGTAGGAATGTTTATACCTCGGTGAAGGGCAAAACCTAATTTGATTTGGTAGAAATGATTAAATGAATGCATTTTTTTGTATTATTAAGTATAGGCTGTGCGCACAAGTACCCCCTCAATGGTAAGAAAGGGAGACTTTGAGGAGACCACTGGGAGAGACATTCGAATGCATTGCTGAAGATGCCTGACAATCATGCAAAGACACTATGGCTTTGTCCTCATTCGGAATCAAATTAGTTTTGCGCACTTTGTGCTATGCGCGTGCAAATCATTACGCACTCGTGATGCGTCCCGTCCACTGGGCTCTCGAAAAAGGTCAAACAGCGCTTTCTCTTTTTGCGCACGGAGCCCATAATTTAGCTCAGCAGAGGGCGTCCTTGAAAAGTGGTCGTCAATGAACAACATGTTTAGCACGTGTTTCATTGAGTGTTGATATTGGAAAGATTTCCATATAAGAAGTTCACTCAACACCCTGTGTACAAACCCTATGAGAGTGGACTGGAAAATTCTAAGTGTTTTCTAAGAAAATGCTTGTATTTTCTCACTGCTGAAATTGACTTTGATGACATGAAATTGCTATCTGGGGGCTTGTTAGTCAATACAGAGGAAAATTAGTGAACTTTGCATATGGAAATCTTTCCTTGATATTTAGTTCTTATGAACTCCTGAGTCGTTTTCCAAAATACCTACTTTTTTTTGAGGAGGATAACTCCAAGAGCCATGTTAGCCACAAGAGAACCCTGGAGAGAAAAATACATGTAGGTAAAAGAAATCACTTCAATTACACAAATATTGTCTAATTTTCTGAAAGGTGAGGACAGAAGTTTGTAACACTGTAGTGTGATGATAAGGTAATAATAACAATAAGTTAAACTGTATATAGCGCCCATCCATGAAGAAAATCATGCTCCTAGGCGCTTTCTATAAAAAGTTAAGACACAGGATAAAAATACAATGAAGTGAATACATGTACTTAAAAAGATTTAAGATTTAAGCCTGGTTCATACCCCACGCGGAAGCAAGTGCGAAGCGAAATCGATGTCACCAACAATGCGCTGTGAACGCATCGCTGACGTCACGAACCCCGCCCCGCACCAACGCGAAGCATGAACCGGACTTTAAACAATGTAAAACCATTTCCTCATTGTTTATGTCATGTCATTGTGTTCTTGCCTGCCACTTTTTGAGAGAGGGCGCTCTATGTTTACTACATACATGTAGTAATATCTGTGATAATGGGCATACTCACACTTCTGAATATCATGTGAAGAGGCAGTGGGATGCTGAAATTGAGTGCATAGTTGTTGACCACGCTTACAGAGAAGAAGAACATAACCAACACAGCATAATGCCTGTAGAAAATTATAGCGAGAAATTTAATTAATGTCAAGCAGTTGCATTTTTCCTGTGAACGTGACCAATATTTCCATCCCTATCCCACTACATGTACGTTGAGGGCATAGATTTGGACAACACTTTTGGTGAAGAACAATAATTTTAAAAGTTGTAAAAAAAAAAAAAAAATTTAAAATTTGAAATCTTAGGGACCATTTAGAACAGTCAATGTTAAATAATTTCGATCTTTTTTGTTGTTGAAATTGTAGGTGGGTGGGTCAAAGGAAATAACTGAAAATTGAAATTCAGTTTTCAATTAAAGTAATAGAAAAAAATATACAAGAAAAAGGGAGGGGGAAACCCAGTGGCCTCTTCGAGATCAAAAGCTAATAATAATGAAGCAAAACTAACCCTTTATATTTTTTAAATATAGTGTCTCGGGAAAACTGGAAACACTGTGCAAAGTTTTGTGTGCTAGGCAATTTTCGTCTATTTCAAATACAAAGTTGCATGCTGGAAGCCTGGAAAAGCCATTGAAAACTCCTGAGCTGGGAGAACATTGACCTGAAATATCTGCTTCATTTGAAGCATTACTTTGAACTTCAGTTTATAGGATACATTGAATAGTCATTTGGCATTTAAAAATCAAAATCTGGGGTGGGTGAGTGGGTCAAAACAATTTTGAAAAAATATCTAAATTTTTCAACATTGACTATTCTGAATCGCCCCTTAGTGACTTTTATCAATAATCCCGCTACTTCAAATCCTCTGGTTGTGGTCACGCGTTTCCAGACAAGGGTGGGGATTTTGGTCCTTTTTTCAGTGCAAATTTCAAGAGCTCCTGAAAATGTTTACGCTGGGAATTTGTCTTTCCGGCAGTGAAAAATCCCCACCCTTAGGCTAGGGTACCTCCGCATTGAAATCTGCAATTGCATTCAATTGAAATTCGGTCGCACAAAAGCTGGGGCATACAAACACCTAAAATCACTTCATTTTAAAAGACAACTGTTCTAATTTTGCTGGTACTCGCTATGATGTTGCACGCATGCGGTGAATTGTTTAACCCAAAACTGGATAGTCGTCAAATCTTGATGTGCACATTCGCAGTTGGAATACCGAACAGGCTTCTGTAATGGTATTTGCTCTTGTTGATTATTTTTCTGATTTTCATTTTTATGGTTACTCACTTGATAGGTATGACCGGAGCCTTTGTGCCGAAATGTGTTGCAAAGATGAAACCTTCCACAGCGATGAAGAGAAACTGTGCAAATGTGACGATGTTGCCACTGCCTGGATGCTCACTACGTAAAACAAGAATGTAATAGTCTACAGTATTAGTAAGAGTATCATAGGCAGTGAACAGCAATTTGCAAAAAAACCTAAACCAAACTGGTAAATTATTGTTAAATACAGGGCGAGTCAAAATAAGCGGAACCCAAATGCCCAATAATATATTTCATATTTAAAAAAATATGTAGCACCAAAAATAATGACTGGAAAGCCAATTTCATAAGCTTTTCAGATGAAAAAAATTACTGAAATTGCTCAATCCGTTCAAAATATATCACCATTTAAATGCAATGACCCTAAAACCTGTTTCGTCCCCCCCCCCAAAAAAAGCAATTTATTGTGTATTCTGACTGTAGTGTTAGGAACAACAAAGAAAATTACACAGATACTTGTTTCAACAACCGTCAACAACTGTAGTGCACAATATCTTGATTAACAACCCTGATTAGGCAAACAATATGATTTATTAAGTCCACCTTTTTTTAAAAAAACAGGCCTTCAAAAGGACTTTGTTTACTATTTTTAACTTTAAACTGAGGTTTTATCGCTGGTGATGTTTGAAGACAATTGTGACGACAATTCTTGAAATTGCATTTTGGACGAAAGAGGTTTTAGGGTCATTGTGTTTAAATGGGGATATTCTTTGAACGGATTGAGCAATTTCAGTCATTTTTTTTTTCATATAAAAGTAGCTTATGAAATTGGCTTTCCATTATTTTTGGTGCTACATATTTTTATAAATATGAAATATAATTTTGGGGGTTTGGGTTCTGTTTTTTTTACTCACCCTGTAGCGTACTTGGTTGTGAGTAAATTATAGTATCATAGTATAATAGCAATAACTGACTTCTGTGCGACGAAAACTACAAGGATATCATTCAATACTTAATTTGTAGTGACTGTTACGGAAAGAATGTTGCGCCACTATTGTCATCATATATCATCTCAATGAAGGTCATTCATTGCAAACGTGTTGAAAAGACATGAATCTGGGACTGATTCATGTCTTTTCATAAAAAAAAGAACAATAGTTTTGACTTCCATAATTTAAATCAATTTCTACATCTCATTGAAGTTTTTCATATTTTGCTTAGTAATCCATGGATATGGAGGATTTTTTTTAAGGGAAATAAAGTCTGACTCTGAGAAGTATACACGTACCTGTATGTACTCTGGTTTGGGGACCAAAAGATCCTGACGACTATAACCAGAGCCAAATAAATTTGCTGGTTTGGGATTCCATCCCTCCCCATACACCCCCCCCCCCAAAAAAAAAAAAAACCACACACACACAAAAACAGAAACTAGGCCCTAACTGTGTTAGACTTAAATTGAAAAAAAATACGTAATTGTAGTAATGTTGTGCCCATTCTTGAAAATCACGCATTCTCGAGAATGGGCAAGCACATTCTTGAGAATGTGCAACTGGATCCTTGCTCAATCTTGGCAAAAAATAACTCTTCCAGATTGAGCGCACATTCTTGAGAATGCGCGACAAGATAACGGTCTTGTCGATGCCGAGCACCGGCTGCGCTTGGCAAGTCTAGCTGAATCCTCGTTCACTGATTCTCAATAATTATACTGTTGCAACGCAAGGCGCTGAAAAGTGGATATGATAAGTAAAGGCGTATTGATATGGGGGGGGGGGGGGACCGGGAAAAAATAAGAGACATAATAATACTAGTGCAAAGAATTCTGATTTTTGGGATAATAAAAGCGGGGGGGGGGGGGGGGGACGTAAGAATGAAGAATGTGAAGAATGAGAATGAATACTGCGACATCCCATAGTGCTAATGCTATTTTCCATTTAAATTGCCACCAATTTATTGTTCACATCCCACCATAACGTCACAGAGCTGGATTCTATCTAGTCAAAAGAGCAATTTTGGCAGCTTCTGGACATTGTTTTTTTTTCGTGGCACGCATATGATACATGCAGGGACTTGTAACTTGTCTAGCCTAAACAAAGCACTTCCCAGACTAGTTCCCAGTCCTCCGTTATTACAAAACTTCCCATAGTGGGCAGAAAAAAGCAATAATAACAGGTTTAATTTGATTCAAATTATCGTAGTTATACGAGTACAGAAGCATAGAACATTTTCTTTCCTCTTTATATGAATTGTTTCCCTTTTAACCGCTATACAATTCATTTAACATAATTATGTCGTGCAATGTTTGTTAAGATTGGGCAAAATTCATAAATTGTGCACGTGATATTCCCACCCAATCTTAAGAATGAGCGCTCATTCTTAAGAACGCGTGCTCGTTCTTAAGAATGGGCGCTTATTCTTAAGAATGCGCGCCCATTCTCGAGAATGCGTGATTTTCAAGAATGGGCACAACAGTAATAGACTTGCATTGAAATTTATTTGTATTTATTTGGAAACATCATCTTCCCATGATTAGGAAAGAATGTTGCAACCTGACGCCCCTTCAGCAGTTGTGTACAAAGTCTATGGAAAGTCAGAACATTTTCTAAGTTAAAAGTATTGCCAAACGAAATTGGGAATGTTTTTCAGTCCCAGATTCATGTCTTATCATCATTTTTGCAATGAAGGACCTTCATTGAGATGATATATGAAGAAAAAAGTAATTTATTTCTTTTTATTTGGTAACAACTAACAACATATTACTTCTAGTTCTGATTAGACTAGAGCATGATTAGAACTAAGTTAGGCCCGTGTGCCTTTCTAATTCTAGAACTAAGTACTCAGTTAAAGTAGATTATGGCTACCTGAAGATTTTCTACAAATACTATTAATGATAAAGGCTACACATTGCAGAATGTTTTAATCCGTAATAGGGCCCTATTATTAATAAGAAAGTTCATTTTAAACCAAATGACTTAGAATGAACATGAGTGACGAAAGGAATGGGCGATCGTGTAGCATCAGGCCCCTGTTTAGTTTTGATCAAATTAGAGTCAAAAATGTTTTGTATTGCTAAAAAATCACCTTTAAAATCAAAAGCAGACTTTTCTTAATTAATTAATGACACCCGTTTTGCAATTTTGAACAGTTTCTTGAGGTTGAATTCACGATTTTCCTGCGTGGTTTGTACCTTGTGATTCAGAGCGCCGTGCGTGCTCATGGTATACAGCACGCGGTGATCGGCATCTTTTATTTTCGGGTTGCGTGTTGTGTCGCCGCGCTGTCGTCATTTTACCCCCAAATTTCCCTAAAAAAAAAAATCAAAACCCTGCCCTCTATCTATGACATACCTGATAATTGAGAACCAATTAGTTTGGTTTGTCTAATAATTTTAAAGAGGACTTTGTTCCCTTAAGTTAGGAACCGGGCCCTACACTACACGATCGCCAAAGGAATGTATAGTCGGACTCCCTATTATCGCGGCATCCCTATTATCGCGGCATGGGAAATTTCTCTTTTTGCGTTGCCAAAACTCCTTCAAGTGGCAAGTTTTTTCCAGTTCACCAGTCATTAAGGACTTTTTGCCAAGTTGTATAAAAAGGACGATTAAAAAATGTTGTGTCTTTCGGGACTTTTAACGATTTTTAATAAATAATAACGTTTTCCAAAACTTGCAAATTTTCCCTCACCGTGTCTGCTAAAAGGTACCGTCTATATTTTAACATAAATCTTTAATGGTGCTCTGTCCATGAAAGTTCCATGCCTGGTTCCAATTCTTCAGCTGCAAATGTAAAATGAAGTCGAAGGACGATATTTGCACCGCGAAATCGTAAAAACTTTTACGGGATCAAAATAAACACAGCGCGTTAACAAAAATAAAACAGCACACCGTGTTAAGTGAATGGCGCCCCCAATCGCCAAACAGTAGACTTGCCTCTGTGAGTTGTGTTCTCCTTTCGGGGGAAGGGCAGGGACTTAGAAATCATCCTGTAGATAAAATAGTCTTTAATCAACTTGAACTTACAGGGAAAATATCAGACTTTATTCAGGGGTGTTTTGGTCAAACATTAACTATGAATAAAACAGTTGAGATCATTATAAAAACCACTTCCCGCATACCACGATAATAGGGAGTCCACCTCCGTTCGCAAACCACACCACCGTCTGAATTTTTTATATCAATTTGAAAAGGAAGAGTTATTCTACACAATAGACAGGACAATTCGGGAAGGTTAGTGGGGAATCTCTATTCCAAACGAGAAACGTGATAAGTACCGCGATAATATGGCAACCCATCCTACCTGACAATAAATTCCAAAAACACAACATTGGAACAGCAGCCGACGAAGACAAGAATAATCGCATACACAGGATTCATGTTGAATTAACTGATTGGTTCGGCTAAAACGAAACTCCCAAAGATGTATTTCATCAACACGGTGTCATCACAAAGACTGAGCACCTCTCATGACTTTAGTAAGTAGGTATGGCCCGGCAAAATTCTGTTATTTCTACCGGTACTTGGTCTTGGCTTTAATACATATATGCCGGTAGGTCATAGGTAGGTCTGCGTGTGTGTCAGGTGTAGTGTACGTATGTACGTGGCCTGTGATTTCGGTTCGGTTTTCTCACGCGCCACGGTGACCGTAAGGTAATGGAAAACTTCGGCCAGATGCACTTCAAAAATCTGCTAGATTTAACAAAAAGCTGCTAAATCACCTGTAATATCACGAAATACATAATAAACACTTAATCATTAAATTTTCTTTACTAAAATTTAATAATTTGTTTAACAAATTGTTCGTGTCTAGCTAGTCCGAGTAACTTGGACCCAACTTATCGCCTTTTTTAACATTTGGACACGGTCTGGTGCGACTATATCGCCAGACCATGATCGACAGTGCCTTAGGCTACTGTGAACTATTAAAGGGAACCTCAAATTTAGGCTTTTTCAAAACTAATTGGCTATATTTGTCAAATCTGCCATTATTTTTGAATTTGTGTCAAATCACCAATTTTACAGAATTCAGCTAGAAGTCTGCTAAAAAAATTTCATTCTGCTAAATTTTCTGTCAAACTCGTTTTTCCCCCGAAAAATTCTGTCAAATTTAGCCGAAATTTGGCTACAACGGTCATCCTGTTCAGTACAGAAGCCAAGCTCCCAGACACCATCAATCAAAGGGGCCAGACTACGGTACGGAATTATGTTTTTTTTATGTAACCAAGTATAGTCAATGACCATAATGCGCATGCAGTTTGGTAACGGTTCTCGGATCCTCCAGAGCTATGAATAAGAAAAAGGCTAAATTTCATTTATCGATCATCAAGAGTTGATTAAACCACGGACCATACACAACTTAGGGAACAAAATTCACTTTGGGGAAAAAATGAAAATAACAAAATTCAGCTGTTGAGCGGCGATGGACGGAGAGTCCAACGCCCAACATAAGAACTAAACTTCAGTATTTCATCCGCAGCGCTCGCTGGAAGAAACTCTCTGCTGCAAGAGGTGACCCGGTTGCCCGACTTCCGGTTCTTGTCCTCATAATGGTGCGTAGCCAAAGGGGGGGACCAAAAATTCGAAATGTGCCGCTTGCCAAGGAAGTGCCTTTTTAAAGAATTTGTTTCAGTTATTAAAATAAAGAGGAATTCCATTTTTTTTTTAAATCGGATTAATTTGATTTAAATCAGATGCTTTTTATTTGTTTTACTTTGAAAATATTGATACGTCTAAAATTGTGTCTAAATCTCCCCATGCACACACCCATCACTAACGAGTTTACATACAGGTTCCTATGATTAATATCCATCATCGACAAAACTCAATAAATTGATAAATGCCTTTGAAAACAATTGTATTGAATCAGCGAATAAACTACAAATCACTTGATTTACTCTACATAGTCTTCCTCAATTGGTTCAAGGGTACATTAATACTGAGGACACTTTAAAGGTGTGTGGCTTGATTGATACAGCTGAGACGTGTTAATATACCCAAAACTTAAGGTTCGAAATTTGGATTCTTCAAATGAGACCTGACCGTTTGCATAAAACAAAATATAAACACTTGCAAGAACCGGCATAAAAATCAAACATTTTAAAATGAGTATATTTTCAGTTGCTCTGAGAAGCTGATCGGGATGGGTAACATTGGACTGTCCGGTCTCTGTTTGGACAGCGCTTGGATCCTTCTCGCGTTTTTATACCTTTTTCCTATAAATAGGCTACCGTGAGGGGCAGTTTTGAGGTCATCATCGGCGATCCAGGCTAAATCATCGTCATCATTTAGGAGTTCAACTATTAACACTCATCATTGACTACGCAATTGGCAACGCCCAGAGAAAGAGTTGCGAGTACCATATGTGGCAGACAAAGCTATACCAAGGATGAAAGCTGTCAGGAGGTGGAATGTTGACAGTCAGAATGAGGAAGAGCGACCCGATTGTGTGCAAAAGCACAATGCCCAAGAGAAACGAGAGGCAAGGTCAAAATTTGCATATCCAATACAAAATCGCATACATACGGTGCGGATTCACTTTAGACTTTCAAAAATGGAGGCGCCCATGCATGCCGCGACAGTGAGTTTCTATAACGGGCGGGTCCTGGGGGGGGGGGAACCAGCATTTTAAAGGGCGCATCAAGGTCTGATCCACAATTTTTTTTTTTTCGATAGCCGAGAGGCCATCCGACGATTGCAGCAAATTTAAAAAAAAAAATGGTTGGGGGGCGCTCTAACTTTAACACACAGCTGAGCAGGTCAAGCTGCATGCACATGTTCAAACCTGATATCGACCTCATTTTGTCGCATCATTTTTTTTTAAACATGGCTCATTCTTCTTGCCTTAAAAGTGGTCCTGGAGCAATAGCAAGATTTCAGGTATAACAAATTGTGCATGTCAGCGAACAGGCCAAACTTTAATACACCGGACAAATATTGATTTGCATGCCCTCAAGTTCTCTATTTGAGCTTTGGACCATGAACTTGACAGTTTACAAAAAGAAGGTTGGAACCATTAGCTGCGAACTGCGAGCGTGTATTGTGACATTTTGATAAAATATGGGCCCAAAAATTGCTCTATTTTGCAATGTAGCGTAGGCATAATTTTGGAAGATGGCGATGGCTTCTGACTACTTTTGGTGATCATCTTTGGATAGAAATTTCTCCCAGAAGGGAGAATTACCCCCGTGGAGTTACCCCCCAAAATGAACAGAAAATGAAAGATGACGAAACACAATTTTATATGATGTGTGTTTTAAAAACCTTGGAGAGTTGTGACTTTTTTGTGTGATTTGGTGATTCATCACTGGGGCTTACGGCGGTTCATTTATTGGTCGGCGCCCATAACATTGCGGCCAAACTCATAACGCGTCAGTTGCAAGTTCAAATCTACTTATACCTACGGCCAACGTGAACTTTTGTCCTTTACATCATAGAAACTAGCCTGCGACGAAGCATCATGGCGTTCGTGATCATGTACCTACAGGTTGTCCCACAAAAAACCTAACAGCCGAATCGGGCATATTTTCAGAAAATATTCAAAATCGTGTCTAATGTATTGCTGAGTAGAATAATTGGTCTTCCAAAATGCCTTTTTTTATTATGATGTTTTGCTCAAAAGATACAGCAATCACAATACAGGACTTTAAAAAAAAAACACTTGGGCCACTTTTTTTTTTATTATTTATTGATATCTCATCGTCTTCCAAAAAAAAAAATTGTCCAAATGATAAACTGATAAGCTGCACTAACCCTTTTGACCCATCCTGTGTTTGTGTGTTTCTCTAACTGCCGTTTTTCACTTTCACGGAAAGTGGCCCAAGACGATTTCCAACCCTTGAGTTCGACGAAGCATAGTGTTTGTTCCAATGCATCTATTTGAATAAAATAAAGTTTGTATGGTAGATTGGTTATCTGACTTTGAGGTAATCTGAAAATATTTCAAAACTCACATGCAATATACCCTTATTAATTGGTTTTCGACTGTTGGTTAGTTTGTGCGACAAGCTGTTATATCTATATTGTGGACCGAGTCCACTGTTCATGAGCACTTGTGTATTGTGCTTCCCGTATATGTGATACACGATCGTGATAAATCGATCTGTTTTTGGTAAATGCATTTATTGACAAAATAATGTAAACCGATTTTCGGACAAAACTCTGATTTTCGAGTTTCATATTGAATTATTTATAGGTGTACAAGGTGCTTTTATCAAAGTTGATAGTTTGGACACCGAAACGCGCCCCCCCCCCCCCCCACGCCCCCCGTGGTTACGCCACTGCGTGTATTTCTTGAGTTGTTGGCCCCAAATCGAGTTTGGTGGTGGAGATCGAGACCACTATAATAGAGGGCGCGCCACATAAATAGTGGTCTCGGCAACGCATCAACACGGGAGCTGCACAATTGAAGAAAAAGAACAACCTCGTTTCCGATGAACTACTCAAGAAAAACAAAATGGATTAAATTGAAATTTCGTGCAATTAGTTTTCACGATGTGTAGCATGAGTAGTTTGAATGGCGTGAGAATCCGTGAAGCTATGAATACAATATGATCGTAACAATCTAGTGTTTTAAACGTTAAAAATCCATGTTGACTTACATAAGGAGTGAATTTGTTGCAATTAAAATGCTGTATTGTTACGGTCAAAATAGCTTAATTAAATGACTTTTTTTATGAAATGAAATCTTTTGATGCCAAACATCATGACAAATGAGGGTACGAAAATTCATTTTAATGTAACGTGTATTTCTTGGGTTGTTGGCCCGAAATCGGGTTTGGTGGTGGAGATCGAGACCACTATAATAGAGGGCGCGCCACAGTGGTCTCAACAACGCATCAATACGGATGCTGCACAAATGAAGAAAAAGAACAACCTCGTTTCCGACGAACTACTCAAGAAATACAAAATGGATTAAATTGAAATTTCGTGTAATCAGTTTCCACGATGTGTAGCATGAGTAGTTTGAATGGCGTGAGAAACCGTGAAGCTATAAATATAATATGATCGTAACAATCTAGTGTTTGAAACGTTAAAAATCCATGTTGACTTCCATTAGGATTGTATTTTGTTGCAAATAAAATCCTGCATTGTTACCGTCATAATAGCTTGATTAATTGACGTTTTTTTATGAAATGAAATCTTTTGATGCCAAACATCATGACAAATGAGTGTACGAAAATTCATTTTAATGTAACGTGTATTTCTTGAGTTGTTGGCCCGAAATCGGGTTTGGTGGTGGAGATCGAGACCACTATAATAGAGGGCGCGCCACATCAATAGTGGTCTCAACAACGCATCAATACGGATGCTGCACAAATGAAGAAAAAGAACAACCTCGTTTCCGACGAACTACTCAAGAAATACAAAATGGATTAAATTGAAATTTCGTGTAATCAGTTTTCACGATGTGTAGCATGAGTAGTTCGAATGGCGTGAGAAACCGTGGAGCTATGAATACAATATGATCGTAACAATCTAGTGTTTGAAACGTTAAAAATCCATGTTGACTTACATTAGGAGTGTATTTGTTGCAATTAAAATGCTGTATTGTTACGGTCATAATAGCTTGATTAAATGACGTTTTTTAATGAAATGAAATCTTTTGATGCCAAACATCATGACAAATGAGGGTACGAAAATTCATTTTAATGTAACGTGTATTTCTTGAGTTGTTGGTCCGAAATCGGGTTTGGTGGTGGAGATCGAGACCACTATAATAGAGGGCGCGCCACATCAATAGTGGTCTCAACAACGCATCAATACGGAAATAATACAATAAGAAAAAGAACAACCTCGTTTCCGATGAACTACTCAAGAAATACAAAATGGATTAAATTGAAATTTCGTCAAATTAGTTTTCACGATGTGTAGCATGAATAGTTTGAATGGCGTGAGAAACCGTGGAGCTATAAATATAATATGATCGTAACAATCTAGTGTTTGAAACGTTAAAAATCCATGTTGACTTCCATTAGGATTGTATTTATGCAAATAAAATCCTGTATTGTTACGGTCATAATAGCTTGATTAATTGACGTTTTTTTATGAAATGAAATCTTTTGATGCCAAACATCATGACAAATGAGTGTACGAAAATTCATTTTAATGTAACGTGTATTTCTTGAGTTGTTGGCCCGAAATCGGGTTTGGTGGTGGAGATCGAGACCACTATAATAGAGGGCGCGCCACATCAATAGTGGTCTCAACAACGCATCAATACGGATGCTGCACAAATGAAGAAAAAGAACAACCTCGTTTCCGATGAACTACTCAAGAAAAACAAAATGGATTAAATTGAAATTTCGTGTAATCAATTTTCACGATGTGTAGCATGAGTAGTTCGAATGGCGTGAGAAACCGTGGAGCTATAAATATAATATGATCGTAACAATCTAGTGTTTAATTGAAACGTTAAAAATCCATGTTGACTTCCATTAGGATCGTATTTATGCAAATAAAATCATGTATTGTTACGGTCATAATAGCTTGATTAATTGACGTTTTTTATGAAATGAAATCTTTTGATGCCAAACATCATGACAAATGAGTGTACGAAAATTCATTTTAATGTAACGTGTATTTCTTGAGTTGTTGGCCCGAAATCGGGTTTGGTGGTGGAGATCGAGACCACTATAATAAAGGGCGCGCCACATCAATAGTGGTCTCAACAACGCATCAATACGGATGCTGCACAAATGAAGAAAAAGAACAACCTCGTTTCCGATGAACTACTCAAGAAATACAAAATGGATTAAATTGAAATTTCGTGAAATCAGTTTTCACGATGTGTAGCATCAGTAGTTTGAATGGCGTGAGAAACCGTGGAGCTATAAATATAATATGATCGTAACAATCTAGTGTTTGAAACGTTAAACCCATGTTGACTTCCATTAGGATTGTATTTGTTGCAATAAAATCTTGTATTGTTACGGTCATAATAGCTTGATTAATTGACGTTTCTTTATGAAATGAAATCTTTTGATGCCAAACATCATGACAAATGAGTGTACGAAAATTCATTTTAATGTAACGTGTATTTCTTGAGTTGTTGGTCCGAAATCGGGTTTGGTGGTGGAGATCGAGAGCACTATAATAGAGGGCGCGCCACATCAATAGTGGTCTCAACAACGCATCAATACGGAAATAATACAATAAGAAAAAGAACAACCTCGTTTCCGATGAACTACTCAAGAAATACAAAATGGATTAAATTGAAATTTCGTGAAATCAGTTTTCACGATGTGTAGCATCAGTAGTTTGAATGGCGTGAGAAACCGTGGAGCTATAAATATAATATGATCGTAACAATCTAGTGTTTGAAACGTTAAAAATCCATGTTGACTTCCATTAGGATTGTATTTATGCAAATAAAATCCTGTATTGTTACGGTCATAATAGCTTGATTAATTGACGTTTTTTTATGAAATGAAATCTTTTGATGCCAAACATCATGACAAATGAGTGTACGAAAATTCATTTTAATGTAACGTGTATTTCTTGAGTTGTTGGCCCGAAATCGGGTTTGGTGGTGGAGATCGAGACCACTATAATAGAGGGCGCGCCACATCAATAGTGGTCTCAACAATACGGATGCTGCACAAATGAAGAAAAAGAACAACCTCGTTTCCGATGAACTACTCAAGAAATACAAAATGGATTAAATTGAAATTTCGTGAAATCAGTTTTCACGATGTGTAGCATCAGTAGTTTGAATGGCGTGAGAAACCGTGGAGCTATAAATATAATATGATCGTAACAATCTAGTGTTTGAAACGTTAAACCCATGTTGACTTCCATTAGGATTGTATTTGTTGCAATAAAATCTTGTATTGTTACGGTCATAATAGCTTGATTAATTGACGTTTTTTTATGAAATGAAATCTTTTGATGCCAAACATCATGACAAATGAGTGTACGAAAATTCATTTTAATGTTACGTGTATTTCTTGAGTTGTTGGACCGCAATCGGGTTTGATGGTGGAGATCGAGACCACTATAATAGAGGGCGCGCCACATCAATAGTGGTCTCGACAACGCATCAATACGGATGCTGCACAAGTGAAGAAAAAGAACAACCTCGTTTCCGATGAACTACTCAAGAAATACAAAATGGATTAAATTGAAATTTCGTGCAATTAGTTTTCACGATGTGTAGCATGAGTAGTTTGAATGGCGTGAGAAACCGTAGAGCTATAAATATAATATGATCGTAACAATCTAGTGTTTGAAACGTTAATAATCCATGTTGACTTCCATTAGGATTGTATTTATGCAAATAAAATCCTGTATTGTTACCGTCATAATAGCTTGATTAATTGTCATTTTTTTTATGAAATGAAATCTTTTGATGCCAAACATCATGACAAATGAGGGTACGAAAATTCATTTTTTGTCCGACTGTACAGTGAGCAGTCTTTTCCGCTTATTTACCAGTATTCAATAGAGCGTGTATGTTATCTGCATGATATGATCGATTGAACGGAAGTTGAGGTTAACAACTTTAAATTGTTATAAAATAAAGGATATAAATTCGCACGGCAATATTTTCAATATAATGCTTTCTAATTTTCGTTCGAAATACCCATTAATTTATTGCTCTTGATTGGATGGGCCCGGTCAGGACACAAAATAGACATTATTAGATCCTACACTATGCCCGGCCGGCCGGATGTGCTGTTTTCTCGTGAAATCTCGCATGTTTTTTAGGTCGACTTATTACACGCTCTATTTTAAGATGTACTCAACCTTCGATCCCTCCGCTTATCGATTTTGCCGGCGGCGCGGCCGGGTGACCGGGGAAAAATTCCTGGCTACACCTTAGCTTCCAGCACTTGTTAATCAGTCGGCAATTTTGTTGTCCCCTTGAATTCAAGGTCTGGCTACGCCCATGCGCATGCCTACATAAAAGACAACATGTAGAAACTGGGTGCATTCAAGAGTGGGGCATTTCCCCCAAACTTTAAACAACAGTCATGGTATCCGTGTCCTCTTAAACCTAAAGTGGCCTGATATAATTAATTCCTGGTGGATCCGTGAGGGCGAGTGGGCGGTGGTGGTGGTGTTGATGGTGGCGGGGGGGGGGGGGGGGGGAGTAGTTAACTTTTTACCACAAAAAAATTAAAGATGTGGATTTTACTAATGAAGATGAATTTTTAAAAAGATGCAGTAGTCAACTCCTCCCCTTTGAATAGAAAACATAATACAAATGGAAAAGGCGCCCCAGCGCGCGTCCAATGAGGTCCAGACCCCCCCCCGCCGCTTTTCGAATTCCCAAAGGCCGACCCCGTTTGCCAGCACTCCCCCTCCGAAAATTAGTTGTGTGTATGGATACGGTTAAAGCAAGTGTAAGTGACCTGTATTTATGGCAATTTCCAGTTGGATGCCAAAAAAAAAAGAGAACCGAGAAAAAAGAGAAATATTGTTTTTGTCCCGATTTTTTATTTTCGAAGTAAAGGGCTGAGGTGAGCCCTCTATTGGTGGCCGTGGGCAGAAATCAAGCGGGTTTTGTAAACCTCGGCTTCGTTCCGGTATCATTTTTAGTTCCCTGATTTTTTGGACTCTGAATCAACAACAGGCCGTATTGTACTTCATGAAGATCAAATCCTATAATATGAGGCCAAGGCTCAGAGTATTTTTATTTTGTTGGACCGTTAAATGCCGTAAATGTTTTGATAAAAGATGTAACCGAAGAAGCCACAGCTGAAGGCTAAGTCGGATTTTCACAGCTTAAAAAGTCGTTCGCGAAACCTGCTATGCTGTCTCTACGGCTAGACCCTGTTGCACCGCACGTGCATACCACAGCAAAGCCGTAGCTACAAACCAAACTGCCCGACATGGCCAAACACGTACACTGAACATGCGCATAATGACAACAACAATGGAAAACGACCCTATTTATTTTCATGCTTTAATAGAGTGACCGTTTTAGCCGAATTTCGGCTACATTTGACAGAATTTTCCAAATAAACCCCGAGTCTGACAAAAAATTTAGCAGAATTATTTTTTTTATCAGATTTCTAGTAGAATTCTGTAAAATTGGTGACTTGACAGGAAACTATGGCAGATTTGAAAAATGTAGCTGATTAATATGAAAAAGCTTCTATGTGAGGTTCCCTGAACTGTATCATATTGGTACTAATATGGTCACAGTAAAGTATACGTATAGCTCCATGGTTAGACCATGTTCAGACCATTGCCAGTGCAGCCAGGCTAGACCACATGTAAAAAAAAAGTTACATTTTTTTAAAGAAAAGTTTATGATGTTTGTTTTTACATCTGATTGTATGTCGTGTAAAAATATGTGATTAAGCAGATTTTTGTTAAATCTAGCAGATTTTTAAAGTGTATCTAGCAGAATTTTGCCATCACGTTACGGTCACCAGAATCGATCATATTCGATATCGTACGTGAATCGACAATGGCGGACCGCAGGAGCGGTTCGCGAGCTAAAACTCGTGATTTGCCTTGGGAATTTAGGCAATTTAATAATCTAACAAAGCAGCTAAAGAAGATCGTGTATGACACCAACATTTCCCAGGCAGAGCTCAGAAGTTGTGGCCATTTTGAGGAGGGTAAGTGAAGTTTTATAACACTGTGTTTCTGTGGACGATCATGACGATGGTAGTCTGGTCCTCATGTGTGCAAACTTCTTGCGTTCTAGCTTCTTACCATGTTTCTCACCTGTATCTCACCAGCTGTAGACGGCCAACCACTAGCTGCTGCCTGTAAGTTGGCCATGGGGTAAAGAGCCGTAGCTCGTGTTATACTAGCTTGAGTAAATCCAGCTGACATGCCCCATATTTATTCACATAACATGTGAATGAATATGGGGGTTGCACTAAAAAGCGTCAACACAGCGTCAACACTAGCTGGAGTTACCCAGCCCTGAGTTTTATCATTGGGTTGTCTATAAGGGCTGGAGCGAATTTTTCTCGTAACTTGTAGTATTTGCAAAAAATTTTGGAAAATGTTCAATTTTGTCCCCGTTACACACTAATTGCAACTGCAACTCACCCCAAACTTGCCTGGAATAACCATTACACAGGTCCTTGAAGTAAAAAACGATCCACGATGAAGATTCAGCCTACAATTGCAGTGAAAACAGGAGGAATAACCGCTAACTTGACAACCTTGCTGGATTGGCCAGGACCGCAATTGGTTTGTGCACAAAAAAAATTGTGTACAATGAATGGCGGTCGATTAACAGGCACAGAGAGAGCGATCGCTGTCAACTACTCGTTTTTGCCGGCTGCGCTGGCTGTTGGCGCATGACGTCACGCGGAAGCGTAACACCCGATGACTGTTTCATGCACTAATATGAGGTTTACCACTCGCATCACAGCTTTGGTACTGGAACCGCATCCAATAGTGCATGAAACAGTCATCGGGTGTTACGCTTCCGCGTGACGTCATGCGCCAACAGCCAGCGCAGCCGGCAAAACGAGTAGTTGACAGCGATCGCTCTCTCTAGCTCTGTGCCTGTTTTAAAATCGACCGCCATTCATTGTACACAATTTTTTTTGTGCACAAACCAATTGCGGTCCTGGCCAATCCAGCAAGATTGTCAAGTTAGCGGTTATTCCTCCTGTTTTCACTGCAATTGTAGGCTGAATCTTCATCGTGGATCGTTTTTTACTTCAAGGACCTGTGTAATGGTTATTCCAGGCAAGTTTGGGGTGAGTTGCAGTTGCAATTAGTGTGTAACGGGGACAAAATTGAACATTTTCCAAAATTTTTGCAAATACTACAAGTTACGAGAAAAATTCGCTCCAGCCCTTACAGTGTTCTCCAACTTTGAAAATCAAAGGTTGGCGCTTGGGTCGGCGGGGACTCCTGCGAGCGCGGAGCGCGAAGCCCTCACGGCGTGGGGTCCGGGGCCCGCTTAAGGGCCCCGGGAAAATTTTGGATTCTAGATGCTCTGTGGTGCAATCTGAGGCGATTCTCCAGGCCAGTTCCCCCGATTTTTTTAGCATTCAAAAATTTCCTTTTCAACCTAAAACAGACTTCTCTCAGATCAAATGACCCCTTTTTGTAATTTTGAAAAACAAAATGGGATACAAATTACGTTTTTTTTAACGCGATTTTATGGGTGGTGCCGGTGCCATACGATCGTCATCTTTATTTTCATGTTGCGTTTTGTCGTTGTCATCGTCATTCCCCCCCCCCAAATTTCCCTCTATTTATGACCTACCTGTATGTTCTTAAATGTCGCCAACTAGTTTGGTAAGTCAAATAAATTAAAAGTGGAATTTGTTCTCTTAGGGAACCGGGCCGATACACGATCGCTATTTATAACTTTTGACAATCGGCATGATCGGAACACCATGTAATGATGTATATGTGCATGCGTGTTTTGGCCTCGAGCTCGTTTGCCTCGTACACATCAATGCGTATTATATTGTGTACCGCGCGTGCAAGCACTGAGAAAAAGAAAGTCGGTTGGCTGCACGTACGTAAGATCTGCCGTACGTACTCCTGCTGGTGTGTGTGTGTACTAATATAGATATATATTTTTGCGGCGGGGTTGTCGCTACTTGAAGTATCGGCACACTCCGGAACTGGGGATTCAGTTGTCAGTGTGCGAGTACATCGCGCGTACTATAGTATAGTACGTACGGGTGCATGGGAAATCGCTGGTGTTTACACGGCCGGCCGTGCGTGTGATTGATTCAGCGAGATTTTAAGACAACCCTGATCGGGCTGGGATGACATCGAAAAACATTGTTAATGTGTGGAAAAACAACTGAATTCAATTATTTTAGTTGTAAATGTACACTGTAGAGTCAAAAAAAATTAAACCTGGCGGCAGGATTTTAAAGCTTGGCGGGGACTTCTTAAACATGGCGGGCGCCGAAGAAAGCATGGCGGGGCGCCAGGTTTGTTCTACATGTTGGAGAACACTGAGCCCTTATAGACAACCCAATGATAAAACTCAGGGCTGGGTAACTCCAGCTACGTCAACACTAGCTCTACTGAGTGGAGCGTTGAATTACGGGTACCCTTCCATACAAACGCTCCACCGATTTGCCATACTTTGGTAGCACCATACACGGTCGTCATGACGGTATGCATTTTGTGCATGCCCTCGCGAGGACAAGGCCCAAAAAAACTGATAAAGAAAATACAAATGAGGAAGACAGTAACCCTGGATAGATCCACACATTCATGACATTCCATATGACCCCTCAAATTGTTTCAAACAACCGGTAATTTTGAAAAAAGAACAAAATAGTCTGAACTTACCGCTCACAATTAAATGTGTCTGCCGAGTTGCACAGTCTATTTCACTGACATGACTGATGCATAATTCATTGCGCGCGTGGGTGACGTCACTATTGAAGAAAAACAAGTTGCGCTTACTCAATAGCTGTTTTATGTAGTCATATGTGCCCCGCGCCGTCTGACTGTGGGTTTTTGGTGCGGGGCACATATCAGCGACTTGTTTTTCTTCAATAGTGACGTCACACACGCGCGCAATGAATTATGCATGTCATGTCAGTGAAATAGACTGTGCAACTCGGCAGACACATTAAATTGTGAGCGGTAAGTTCAGACTATTTTGTTCTTTTTTCAAAATTACCGGTTGTTTGAAACAATTTGAGGGGTCATATGGAATGTCATGAATGTGTGGATCTATCCAGGGTTACTGTCTTCCTCATTTGTATTTTCTTTATCAGTTTTTTTGGGCCTTGTCCTCGCGAGGGCATGCACAAAATGCATACCGTCATGACGACCGTGTATGGTGCTACCAAAGTATGGCAAATCGGTGGAGCGTTTGTATGGAGGGGTACCCGTAATTCAACGCTCCACTCAGTAGAGCTACGTCAACACATGACAGAAGCGTCAACACACCGTCAACACATCCAAAACACATTCTGAATTAACAAAAATGGTATATAATTGTAAAGCATAGAATAAAAGAGAATTTCCATTGGTTTGAGTTTCCATTTCGTTGTTAAAAATATAGTATTTTCACCCGAAAAAATGACCTTTCACTTGCACGGCCGTTGTCCGCCATCTTGACTTCGCACAAAGCTTGGACTACACCATTTCAAGTAGGGCTGTGTAGGTAATGACATTATCTTGTCATAAACAACAGAGGGATACCAGATATGTGAGGACTGAGGATCGGAGTGGTGGATCATTATTTTGTGAGTTGTGTTTATGTTTCATTTACTTTATTGAAATGGACATCTTTTGGTATTGGCCGGCCGCACCCTCTCTGTTGGTTCATCTCTTCTTTTCTAGTTTCATTGAGCTGTTGAGTGTCCCCTTGTTCTTGTGTTTGTGTTGGGTGTGAAGAGACTATGGCTCCCCAGATGGTCTACTCCCTTGAGGATATGAAAAACCTCTATCAGATCCCCCCCCCCCTACGCAGTCTCCTTGTTTCCTTGAAATGCCAGAACAACAGGCGGGTGCTCTTAACCGCAAGGCCATGACACTCCACAGAAACATTTTCAATTTTGTTAGGAAATACTTAGAACATTTTCTTGGCTCTCCATAGACTTTGTACACAACCGCTGAAGTGGCATCAGGTTGCATCATTTTTCCCACTGTGACTTTTATGACTATGAGATTCAACTTTTTTTTTCCCGGGATAAACGTGGCAGATAAATGCACACAAGGCTATGGGGGACGTGGTAACCAAATCTCCGTGTAATTTTTCGTGCAGTCCAAAAGAGATAGAAACTTTGACTCATATCTAGACACAAGACACCTAAAACACTTGGCTGTCCAAAGTTTTTTTTTGTGCAAAATGTTTGGAACACCAAACTGGCTTAATAATATTCATGGCAACTTCTCACCTTTTTAACATGGGCTAACTAGTTTAAAAATAAATCTTAAAATTAATGTGGCCTGACGTTGCGAACTTAGCAAGTTCTTCTTCAGAGGCTAAAACAGAAATGACAGAGGTACATACATTAACATGGGGGTGCACACAAACATGCAGGGCTGAAAGAAGAAACACAAAAGGAGGATTAGGTGTGAAAGGTGTGGAAAGATGCAGGGGAGGATGGATGAGAGAACAAAGAAACAAAGGGAGATGGCAAACCACAAGGGGTCTTGTGTAAACAGGGGAGGGACCAGAAAAGGGAAGGATCAAAGGTCACAGGGAGTGGGAACGGACATTAGAGTGTGAGAGTGAAGGGATGATGTGGGGGGGGGGGGACAGTATTGAGGTGGAAAGGGATGAAAGATGGGGGAAGATGGGTAAACACAAACAAGGAAGACCAGGTGGATTATCTGTAACAGAAGACAATGGAGGAAGAAAAGGATTAATCATTTCCAAGTTGGATGTTGAGACCATGTGGTTGAATAGTTCGAAGACGATTCATCCACACTTTCTCTCTGCTGAGGCGAACTGAGTCCTTGCGATGGCCAAGAGATTCAATGCCCTGCAAAATCATATCAGAAATGGAGTGGTTAGGCAGGTTGAAGTGATGACCAACAGGGGTGTCTAGTTTCTTGGTGTTGACCGTTGACCGGTGGGCATAGAAACGCTTCTTGAGCGTATTCTTAGTCTCACCTACATACTGCACTCCACAGACCCTGCAAGAAATGAGATATATGA